GTAATGAGGTCTGGTGCCCTCTTCTGGTGTTCAGGTACATGCAAGCAAGCAGAACACTGTGTATAGATAATAAATAAATAAATCTTTTTAAAAAAAAAAAAAAAAGAAAAAAAAAAAAAGAAAAAACAAAAGATTCCACTATGTGTATACAACACTTTATCCATTTCTCTGTGGTGGGGCTTCTAGGTTCCTTCCATAACTGATCTGTTGTGAATGATGCAGCATCAACAGCTATGTCTCTGTGACATGTTGACGTGGGGTCCTGTGGAGTGTCATGTCTAGGTCATGGGGTAGGTCTGTTTGTAGGTCCTTGAGTTACCCTGTGCTGATTTCCTAGTGGAGGAACTGGCTTCCCTTCTCACCATCAATGGATGAAGGTTCTCTTTCGCCCCAGACAGCATTTGTTGTTGTAAGCTGAAGAGGACAATGTGGGTGAGCTCATCCAGCCTGAGGCTTTGCAGGTAAAGGAGATGGCAGAGGCCAGTGGAAGAGTGGGGGCCATGGACAGGGGAGCCGATGGGGAGGGCAGCAAGTGATGGAGGCAGGGTGGAATGAACTGTGGGAAGAGGCTGATGGGTGGTTGGAGGAGGAGAGTGTACTTCCTCAGCACATGGGCCGGGTAAGTGGGAAGTGATGGTAAATTCGGAGACAGTTGGAGTGAGGTGTCAAAGGTGAGGCAGTTTCTGAGGACAGGGTCCCTGTGTATGCAACAGAATAGCGGTGGCTGCTGACTTGGAAAGAACCAGAAGGTCATAGGGGAGGAGACCAATAAGAGGCAGAATTTTGTAAAGCCAGTTCTGGGTGAGGGAGAACTATCTTCCATTCTGAGAGATGGGGGATGCCATGTCTCCAAGGCAGCCATCAGAAGGCTAGCTCTCAAATGGACTTCTCAAAGGATCTACTTGGAGAAAGTGGGTTGCTGACTGCTTGCCTCTGAGAGCAGAAGGCACAAGGGAGAACCTGGGGATAAGAAAGGATCGAGGATGAATATGTGAAAGATGCAAATTATGGTAAGGGTGGGTAACGGTGTGGGAGTGGGGATGGAAGTTGGTTAACATTGCTGTGGGTGTGTAATTGAGGGTGAGTGTGTATGAGGCTTTTAAGTGAGTAAGGAGTGTGTCACAAAGGATACACTCATAAGTGTGGAGCATATATATATATGGGTATTCATAGAGTGTGTATGTGTGTGAGAGAATGGTGTCATTTAAGTGAGCAGAGAATTGTGAGAGTTACTCACACTTTATGAGTAAGTTTGGAATATGTCTGTATGTGATAAAGAGTGAGTGAGTGCATATGGAATGCATATGTGTGTGTAAGTAGAGTGTGACTACTGTGTGTATTTCTGTATGAGTGCCTGGGAGTGTAAGACGTGTGTATTCGTGTGACTGAGAGTATGTAAGTCAGCATGTAACTGACTTACATACTGTGTATAACTCAGTTACATACGTGTGTAACTGAGGGTGCATGTGTGATGAAGTTTATAGGTGAGAGAGTGAAGAGAGAGACGAGGACAGGAAGTACTGGGCAGGTCAGCTGAGTTTCCAGTACAGGGACATGCTAAAGACTCTGGAAGGCAGTGCAGCTAAGAGCTGAGATGAAATTCCCCCAGGTGTGAAGTGATTACTTATATTGTCTTATTATTAAATAAAACTTTGGAGTTGGATATTGGGGTAAAAACCTAATAGATCCAAAGAGCGACAGAGGAATCATCAGCTGACCCTGCCTCTCAACACTTCCAGGTCGAAAAGGCAGGGCATCATCCTAAGCCCCTCCCTACTACTTCCTGTGCCCTCCAATCTCAGTCCTCCAAAACCTCTATGGCTAATTCTGGCCAGCTGAACGTTGACTCCATCCTCTAATTCAATATTTAAATTTATTGGCAGTCTCAGAGTGTCAATGTGAACAAATCTCCCACAACACGGGTGTCTCCAGCAGGAAGGGCTTCAGCCATCTCTGCCACATGGACCACCACTACCTCCTCTATGACAATGGTATCCAGATTGCACAGCATTTCTGGGTTGCTGCTGTATCATTTTATCATTCACTTTAAGAAGTACACAGTAGTCCATCATCAAGCACCCCATAGCTCAGTCACCACCCCTGTTGGTAAGCGCTAGAGGTGCATACAAAATGTCTCAGCTGTCTAGAGTGCTCCTGTGCCTTAAAGCTGTCCTTTTAGCTCGGCTGTTTACATAGGTTAAAACCTGAAAGGAACTGTTAGTTCAAAAGAAACACAAAGATGCCCAGGCATGGTAGTGCAGGCCTGTAATTCTAGCGCTAGGGAGTCTTAGGCAGGATCATTATGGGTGCCAGGCCAGCCTGGGCTACAGGATGAGGCCATGTCTCAGAATTCCATACCTATATTATACACACACACACACACACACACACACACACACACAGACAGACACACACGATACAAAGGTCTAAGAAGTGAGATCTGTGTGCTGAACATTCCACAAATGACTGAAACAACTTATCATTTCTCCAGCAATGTAACATTGGCCACTCCTCCACATTCTCATTAGCTCTGGGTGTTAATTATTTTTTGAGCAATTAATGAACAGACACTTTACCGTCTGCTGCCTCATTGCCACTGCAATGCATCACTGGTCACTGGCCGACTAGTCCCTCCTACAGGCTGTGGTGGCTGCTGTGTTACTATGGATTCCTTCTCGCGGGCCTTTGCTGATGTTTTGGCAAGGTGCTATTGGCTGGTAAGAACATGATAATCAGTGGGTGCAAACACACACACACACACACACACACACACACACACACACACACACACACACACACACACACACACACTGGCTTTACTCTAGTCCTCCCCTAGATAAAATGGGTCTCAGAACCAGCCCTGGCTCATCGCTTCAGCGATTTCTCTCGTAGTGGGATCCTCACCTCTGCCACAACAGCCACCTTCACTAAAATGACTTTCAATCCTTTCCTGACCTGGGCCACTGCCTCTCTGGCAGCTCCTCCAGGTCACTGCTCAGGAACTGCAAATTGTCCCTCCCTTATGCATACCAGCCTCCTTCCCTGCCAGCGGTTACTTCATCTGCCCTATCCTGTTCTGTCCAGTTGCAACAGCTTTGGGAGTCACAGTGACAATACAAGCTCAGACCACCAGAAGGCGCTGTGTCACAGGAAAGCACCCAGCTGGTTTCCTTTTCAGTTCACCCTATCCAGGCAGGAGACCAAAACCTTCAATGAGTGGCTGCTGGAAACCCTTAACTGTACCAATGAGTTTACACTGCAAGCTGCCCTGTGCAGTTTCCCAGTGTGTATGCCTTTCTCATCCCTCCACACACTGTAGCCGGAACTTTTACAGTTCCTTCCTTTGAAAATTCACAGGCAGATTTGTTCTTGAGGAACCTTACCAACCTCATACTTTTCCTTACTGTGCAGGATTGCACCTTTTCGCTTGAAGGAAGCGCCCCACAGCTCCTCTGTGATGTTTTGAAGTTGCAGCCTCGTCTCTTCCCATTAAGTCTCCTGTAGCTGAAGTTTTCTCCAGTCCTGCTAAGACCGTTACATCTACAGTCTCCGAAGGGTCATTTAAAGCGAGCATCATCAGGATGCACAGTTGATCTGAAAACCAAGACAGTTACTCGGCAGCTGACAGCATAGCACCCAGCATGGAGCGTGGCCGAGGGATGAGTCTTATCCCAAGTGGGACAGAGTGGGCTAGTGTGAGGTTCCCTTGGGCTGCTCTTCCCTATCACCTGATGGAATATTCTACTGGATGTGTTAAGGCTATAGTAACTGTAGGTAAGGGATAGAGGCTGCTAGCGTTGAAGGGGTTCCTCACTCAGGAGGAGTAACTGGGTTCCTGGGGTCTCTTCCTTCAGGGCTAAGCACAGTTGGTTAACTAGAGACCAAGCCCTGGCTTGGCCCCTCCTGTACCACTTCCCATCCATGACCATAGGACCGTCTGTTCCTCAAGGCAGTGGAAAGATCCATTCTGTCCATAGGAACTGGAGCCTGAGGATGCCGGAGAAGAGACACAGTGCTTGCTCAGCAGACATTGGTGAAAAGAGCTAGGTGGTATGAGCGTCCTGACCCCTCGTGTGCCCTGCAGGCCTTACAACCATGACAGTAGGTAGCCTGCTGTTCACGTTCACAGATGAGAAGACAGCCCCAGCAGTATCCAGTAGAGGCAGTGGCCTTCAGCTCTTCTACCACTCACCTTGGACCTGGCTGCCTCCACACCAGTGATTCTCAAAGTATGGTCCCCAGAACAGCAGCAGCAGCAGCAGCACCTGGACTGGCCAGAGACTGGGACGTGGACCAAGCAATCCATGTCTCCCCACAATATGCCAGAGTGCTCTGATACGCTGAAAGCCAGGAGAACCACTGCTCTGTACCAGCCCTCTCTGGATGTGGGAAACACACTTGTGGGTGGAAAGATGAGGACAGTGGCATGGGATGGCAGCTGCAGAGTCCAAGGAAGGTTCTCCACCACCCACCCACCCCCAGACAGGGTTTCTCTGTGTAGTTTTGGTGCCTGTCCTGGATCTCACCCTGTAGACCAGGCTGGCCTCGAACTCACAGAGATCCTCCTGGCTCTGCCTCCCGAATGCTGGGATTAAAGGCATGCACCAACACCGCCCGGCCCAAGGAAGGTTCTTAACAAGTCAAGCTGCTGCAGGAGGGCCGGGCTGGTGGCCTTTGGATGAACAGAGCCCCATATAAATATTGAGACTTCTGTGTCAACTGGAGGTTATCAGGCAAACCATCCGGGCTGGGAAGGACTGGAGGGTGGTCAGACTCATCCCAGAAGACCACCAATGAATGGTACAGGTGCTTGGGCCAAAACCCTCACCTCCAGGGTGGGACCTGGGAAGCTGCCATTTGGACAGGACCTGCCACCCAGTGCAGGCTAACACTTGGGAAGCTCTGCATGGGAGGCATTAGACTAGACAGACCCATGGGGACTGGTTTTGTGACCTGGTGTAAGCCTTGCCCCTCTGTGCCCTGGAATTCCTCTCTACAAAAGGTAATCCTGGTAGAAAGAGTTGGATTCAGGGATCAGAATAGCTTGTTAAGTCTAAAGGGGAAACCAAGCTAGAGGTGAGGTAACAAAGATCAGGACATAGCATTTGAACCCGGGGTGGTAGGGAGCCATGGAGGAAGTTAGCCCCAAACAGGTGCCATCAAATTTGCATTTTCCAAGATTACAGCCTGAGGGGGCTGCGCTGAGGAGGAAGGAGAGGAGGTGGTACTGGTTAGCTTGGGACACCACATCCGGGCCACATTGCCTAAATTCAAATCTCTGTTCCACCCGAGCCCACAGCTGTGGGACCTGGGACAACTGACTTAACCTGTCAGTGTGTCAGTGGTCTAATCTGTCAAGGCATATGAAAGGCTCATGAGAAGAATTCCAGGGCCCATGTGAAGTCCATGGTCAGTGTGAGTGCGCCATCAGCTCCACGGGCTCCATCAGCTCCACGGGCAAAGCTCTGACCATTTCTTTGCGAGCAGAAGCAGGAAGCCAACTACCATGGGAATGTAAGTATTCTGAGGACCAAGACAGGTAGTGTGGTCACTGAAGGTCCTCTGAATAGCTCTGGGGACAGTCGGACCCTCTGTCACATTAGAACAGACCCCCCCTCACCTCCCAGGAGTGTAGGCCACCTGCTAGAAACAGAGCTCTGGCGGGAATGCTGACCCCGTCCTCCCAAGCCCTCAGCCCAGGCCTGCCCACATGACCCAGCTTCCTGTTTGTGATACCAACATTGGAGGGAGGAAATCAACACCCCACCCAGGGCTAGAGGGCAGGAATGTGGACCTGCTGACGTCAAAGCTTGTCCCAGTTCTGAGGCGATGGGATGGGAAGGGTTTCCTGCTGAGCCTCTGAGCCGGCCTGCTCTGCAGGGGTGAGCTGAGCTGGGGGAGCCCACTCAGAACTTTCTCTGTGGGGTGCTGCAGGGGTGAACGCAAGCCCTGCCCCAACACAGCTGTAGGACCTGGGCAAATTACCTGATGCTTGCAAGCCACAGTTTCCTCTTTTGTAGGATGGGAACACCAACACTAACGGAGCCAGCGTACCCATCTGGTATAAGAGAAACCCCCCACTACCGTGAACCGTGAACCTGCTCCTCACTGCAGGGGCCGTAGAGATTCTTGTCTTCAAGAAAGATGCAAGCCCCCCTGGCGTGGACCCTGCCCTGACTGTCATGGGCTCCTGTGCCAGTGTCTGCCTGACTGGCAAGGCAGGCAGAGGAAGCCAGTCACCTAGGTGTGAGGTATTTCCGGGGGTGGCTAGGAGGAGCTTTACCAGCATTTGGGCTGTGACTCAGGTTGAGGCCTGGTCTCAGGCACTTCCTGGCCCAAGTGACTCAGTTTCCCCAGCTCTCCAGAAGCATCACAACACAAGGCCTGCTCTTCAGCCTTGAAGAGGCATTGAGGCAAGGCTACTGAGTGTTGGTGGGACCCTCCAAATACCATGCGTGGAGGGCCTACTGTGTGCTTGTGGCTTTATGCGTGTTTGTACTTGAGTCTCATTTGAGCCTAATGAAGTTAGGGATACTATTGACCTCACTGTGTGGAGTGATAAACAGGCCAAGGACAGGAAAGAGATTGCCCAAGATCGTGACGCCAAGAAACGGCAGAGCCTGGAAAGGATGTGCCCTCCATTGAAGGTATTACCTGGTAGTAGTCGGCCGTGCCCTTGACCCCAGCTGGTGGTTGTTTCAGGGCCCCCCTCCCCACCTCTACCCAATAGAAGGTCTCCTGGTCCACTCTCCAACATGACCCCCTGTCTGCTCTCAAATCTGGTCACATAAGCTGTAGCAACTTGACTCAAGTCTGGCCTCCTTTCTCTAGATGACTGTTAGTGTGCCCAGGCACCAGGGCTGGGTCTGGAGTCCTGCTGTCCTCTGTCCCACGTGCCTGGAAAGGCACCATTTGGTTCTCCACCCTATGAGACTGGACTTCCCAGCTTGGTACTGGAGGGGAACTGGCTGGCATGGAGGACGGACACAGAGAAGGCGGGTCCACGGATGCCCCTAGGAGGGCAAAGCGCTCGGGAGGGGCCCACCTGGGGCCCCGCTGGGCCCTCACTGGGCTGTCTGCTCTCCTTCTCCATCCCCCTCCATCTTTCCCAGGACACCACTTAGCCCCACTTCGGAGCTAGAGATACCTGGATTAGGATCGGGTTTGGCTGTTCTCCAGACTTGCCACCTTGGCCATGCCCATCTATCCCCTGCGTTCCCTGGTACTGCTACACAGACACAGGAGCATCCCAGTTTCTGAGAAGACATCACGTCTTTAAAAACCCTAGTAGCCTGCTGTCCGACAGAGCATCCTCTTAATAAACTCTGGCCCTAGGTAGCTGGTATGTAAAGGCTTCTACCTGTAAGTATCCAGGCTCTGGGAGGGGCTCCATGGGTGACCGTAAGAGCCCCTTCCGCAGGTGCCCAGCAGGTGGCAGCATCCGCCCCTTGTTGGCGCACAGTCACGCTCTCTCAAAGAAATGTTTTGTAGATTTTGCATGATTTCCCCAAGTCTAGGGGTTGGCGCTCTACCCTCCCCATCCCCCTACCCCCTCGAGCTACACCGGCAGTCCCTACAGAGTTTCACGCCATTGGTGGTGAGGAAATAGGCTTAGGAGTCGAAGTCTCCTGGAGGATTTCCGGCCTGCTAATCCCACAGGCCCATGCTTCCTGCGCTCCCCTCGCAAGGCTGCCAGGTCTAGCTCTGTGGGAAGAAGCAGAGGAAGCTTCAACCTGGATACCCCTCCTCCTGCTACCCTGCCTGCCTCCCTGCAGCCCGGGCTCTCTCGCCTTCCCCACCCGCTTCCTCCCTCCCTTCTATTCTTCCTCTTTCATTCGGCTCCTGTGTGCGTCACATCTACGGTGCACAGGTTCTTTGCCAGGACAGGGCGTGCAGGGTGCAAGACGTGTCATTTGGAGCCTTCAAGCAAAAACTGCAAAACAGGCAGTACTGAGGGAAGAAGGGTGGCTCAGATCCTGGCAAGCATCTGTCTGTGGTGGTGTGACCTGACCCGGCGACCACTGGAAGCAAGGAGGAGATGGGGAAGTGGCCAGGGAAAGAGGAGCCAAGCAGAGGCGCCGTGTTCAAAGGCCCTTGGGCAGCCAGTGATGTCTTGGGGCTATAAGGAGGCTGGGGCCATGCTTTTCCAAGGTGCAGACTCAAGGGTGCATCACATCAGCTTGCAGCAACCCACATAGCCCCAGACACTGACGAGCACTCGCTTGCTTCCCGGAGGAAGAAACTGGGACCCCCGGGCAAAGCAGGCACAGGGGGTACCAGGAGAAAAAAGAAAGGAGAGTGGATAATTTCGCCCGTGCTGAGTGCCAGGTGTTCTGCTGTGCTGCAGCTGTAGATTATCACCACTCAAGAGGATTCCAGAGGTGACAAAACGGGGGTCTGAGAAGGAGGTGACCTACCCAAGGTCATAGTCAGGGAGTAGCAGACCTGAGGCTTGAACCTGAGGCTTCCCTGTGGAGGTGGGTAGCTGGTGCCCTGTGCCCGGGACACCTTCAAGCCATCAGGAGGACCTCTCCTTCTTGGGCCCTGCAAGTCACCTTGCAGAAGGTTCTCAGGGTCCCTGAAGTCACCCAACA